AACAGCTGAGTTGCCGCGCGCTGCGGCATCCCAGTGCGACTCGCACTCGTCCGTCCATGTTTTCACAAAACCTTCTCGTGATTGTGACCACATCCTCGCGAAATGCGAAAGGAGCCCTATAACTCGATCTCCATTGCTCTTCTTTGGTAATAATGTACCGATGGTGATCAAAATCTGATGTGGCCACACTTGATGCTGTTCACATAGCGTGAGCAGTGCAGCCAATTCGGCCAGCGCTATGTCTGGCAGGCGATCCACATCCAACGAACACAGCCGATCAACACCCATCGCCGAGGAGGGCTTCATACGTCGAAGCGCTGCACGAAGGTCGGCGACCTCGATGGGCGGCAGTGCCTCCTCCTGGACGCGGCGCCGGATGACGCCAAAGGGGTCAAGCAGCTGCTCATGGTCCTCCCCCTGTGGGGCCCACAGCTCACGCCACTGCTGGGTTTTATAATCGAGCACGTCTCTCGGATGGATGAGCGTTCGATTGCCAACTTCGACTGAATCGGGAACAAGAGGCGAGGACCTTACAGCCTTGTGCAGGGCGCTGACGGCTGGTGCCGACTCGGCCTAGTCACGGAAGGAAGAAATAGATCGATGTATTGCTCGTTGCTGACTCCGCTTGGCAAGCTTGTTGGCGAAATCGCAACCACTCGATAAGTCTGCCTCGGAGGGATCGCCTGACACCACCACTTGCAGAAACAACTTCCACTGTGACCAGGTGTGGGGGTCCCGCCTCCGAAGCACTCGGCGCGCCCCCTCGGGCATGGCCCTGTGGAGCGCACCGATAGCCTGAATGAGGATGCCCTGCTGCTTGCAACCGTTGCCCCGACGACGATGTTGGAGCAGAGCCGAAAGTGCGGTAGCCAGCCGTGTCCACCAGCCACAAACCTTGTCGCGCAGTGGTTCCAGCCTCTGAGCCGTCGACTGCTGCACCGTGCCGATGCGAAACCTCGCCGCCTGCCCTCGCGACAAGGATGGCGTGGCCTGCTGGTGGTGGGCGTGGACTGCCTCTTCCACCGTGCGGACCCAGCTACAATAAAGTGCACTGATGTGTGGGGCTGCCGAATCCTGGGACCCTAGCCAAAAAGCTACGGAGTCGGCAACAGCATCAGCAGGAAGGCAGGCAGCACTCGGGACGAACCCGACGTTTTTCCTCGCTTGCACCCAGGTTTCACCGCTGACTGAAAACTCCACGGGGGGCCTGAGCTCACCGATTGAGACAACACCTCCAAGGCGTGAGACCCGTGGACCTCTCCATCTGTAGGGATGGGTGCTGTGCTCGGGGGGGGGCGCTCGGTCTCCTGAGGCTGAGGTGCGGCTGTGTGAGACTCGACTGTGAGAGAGGCGTGCAAGACAGGAGCAGGCGGGGCCGCGGGCGGCGCAACAGTGGTGAAGTTGCTCTCGTCAGCCCACGGGTCGTACTCGGAGATGTTGTCCCAATCAGCGGCGCGATGGTAGCTGGAGGCCTCCGAGGCCTTGTCGGTCTCGTCGTCTGTACCCTCCTGGCTCTCATCACCTTCCTGCCGACGGGACTCTAAACTCTCTCCAAACCATTCTCGAATGTTCGCATGCCTCTTCTCACGAGCAGCCTGCCTAGCAAGATCCCTCTTGGCCTTATTTACACTAGACTTGGACCCCTCGACCGCCTGCTTCGACGGCCTGGAGACTCGGGGAAGCCTCGGGGGGAGCTCGAGAAAGCGGGTGAAAAGTTGACTGCCAGTCGACACTAACTCGATGCACGATCCGATGTGTGGTTTCCATGGGACGGCACAAACAGCAGTGACAGCTCGAATGTACGCCCTAGCTGAAGGACAAACCACCAGATAGTCGAGGTGAGATGGCTTCTGATCTCCCCCAGGAGTGCAAGTGAAATCGGCATTGCTACACAAAATCAGCCCCCCAGTGCGCTCCAGAAAACCAGTTTTTACCAGGGCGCTGGGGCTAAAATTCCAATCTGCTGCAATGACCCAGGGCAATTGCAGACTGGCGACTAGACTGGCAAGCTTACGAAACCGTGAAACATTCTGATCCCGAAAACCTATAGACGAGTGTCCGTAGAACACGATATAGACCAGGGAGAACCCTTTTAGGTGCAAGACCACTGGAAGAAACCCGTCAAAAGCCGAACCGCGATCTGCTCGCAATCCGCGTGCTGACTTCGCAGCGTCCAACACCTGAACAGGCAAGTGATTCTTAGCATAGAAGAGTTTCCCTCCTTCGCAACTCTGCTGACTGAGCTTGGCCTTTGGCCTAGCTGGATTGACTAGGAGCTTGAGCGAACATTGTTTGGCCTTCTTTTTCCAACCTACAACTGCTGCTGGCAAAGTGTGTGTTTCGCAAAGTGACATATAATCATACGAAGAGCGCTGCAAGAGACGGATGTGCCCCCAAGCCTTATCGCCCATGCAGCTCACGTTCGCAAAGAAGAGGAAGGATGACCGAGCAGCATCACTCGTAGCCGTTGTCGACGTCGAAGTGGCGGCTGCAGGTGGAGACGCAGTGGATGTCGCCTCGGACGTACTGCACTCCTCAAACCCCAAAGTTGTGGTAGCAGTACCCGTCATACTGGAAGCCCCTGGCGCCTGCGAAGACGCCCTCGTAGTAGTTGTGGAATCTAGTCACGAAGCGGCCACCCCGTCGCCGCTCTGCTTGGCGGCCTGGGCGGCAGCCTCCTTCTCCTTGGCGGCTGCCTCCTGCGCCGCGAAGCGCGCCCTCGACAAGCGCTCAGCCTCCTTCTTGAGCGCCTCGTCGTCGGCCTGGGTGGTCTCGGCGGCGGCTGCGCCACCGCCAGCTGCCGCAGGGGGCGCGGCGGCCTCGCCCGCGCCCGTGGCTGCGGTACTGATGCCGCCGCCGTCGCCAGCACCCGCAGCGGCGCCGTCGGCCCCGCGACGCTTCTTGGCCATGCGCTCCTGCACCGCCTTCTGCTCGCTCTTGACACGATCGACGAAAGACTTCCACTCCGCGTCCTTCGCCTGGATGGTGGTCCGATAGGCCTCGAGCTCCTCCTTGAGAGCCCTGAGCTTAGCCTTCTCCGTCTCGTCGCAGCCCCACTGCTCGAAAGAGGCGAAGAGTTCCTCGTTGAGATTGAGCCCGAAACACGCAGCCTCCGAGTCGGCCTCCTTGGGCGACGGGCGGAAGCCAGCACCCTTGGCGAGTGCTGCTGTGGCTGCCTTCTTGGTGGCCTCACACTTGGCCACCTCCAGAGCCGCGCTCTGCTCCTTCTGCTCGGCCGTGGCCAGCTGCTTGCGCAGGCGCATGACCTGCTCCACGAGCTGACCGTGCCTGTTGGTCGCCGCCTTGAGCGCCCCATCGGCCTGCTTGACCTGGTCGACGTCCGAGGGAGCTGAGGCGGCCGCCTGGCTGGCGAGCCGCTCCCTCTGCGCCCTCAGCACTGCCTTGAGCTCGGCATCTGCTGACTGGGCCAACGCCTGCTCCAGCAGCGCCGCGACCTCCTGCTGCTGAGTGGCCTTGCCACCCTGGCCGCCGCGGCGACCGCCGCGCGGGGTGCCCACCATGTCGTCCTCGAAGTGCACGTGCCGATCACCTCGCTCCGAACTGGGGGACCTCGACCGACTGGGCGTGTGAACGAATAACCGAACTTTGTGAGAACAGCGTGGGCACCGATTGTCGCTCATCTGCAGGCGATCGTTGTACTCGCATGTCTTGCAGTGGCTGCACCGCGACCATGCACGTTGAAACTGCACATTCTGTGGCTTGTCCATATTGATGCAATGAATTTTCCCAGCTCTCGTTATCCTCAACTGAATGTGGGGGACAGACAGGTGAAGATATCCCTCAAGCGCCGCGCGAAGGCACTGGGATGGACTAGAACACGGGCCTCCGTCGGGGCGGAGGACTTGGTGCTCGAGCCCAAGTGGCTTGAGGGAGGAGGAGGAGGAGGAGGAGGAGGAGGAGGAGGAGGAGGAGGAGGAGGAGGAGGAGGAGCGAGGAGGGAGCGAGGAGGAGGAGGAGGAGGACGCTATGAACAAATTCCGACGTCGGGTTTCCTCGGTCGGGGGCGACTGGTCGCCATGGCCGGAGGCCCGGGCTGGCCCTGCCGCTCCCGGGGATGGAACTTCGCTTGCAGCAGGGGCGTCGGGGATGCGTTTCCTTCCGGCGCGTCACCTCTGCCGTTGTCTTGGGAGGAGGAGGAGGTGGATGAGGAGGAGGAGGAGGAGGAGGAGGAGGAGGAGGAGGAGGGGGACGAGGAGGAGGAGGAGGAGCAGGAGAAGGAGGAGGAAGAGGAGGGGGAGGAGCAGGAGGAGGAGGAGGAGGAGGAAATGGAGGAGGAGGAGGAAAAGGGGGAGGAGGTGGAGGCGCACATCTGCATTCTCCATACGAGCGGACACGTCAGGTGGGGCAGTAACGTAGCATGCGTTCGCGCTTGTGGCGTGGAGCTGTCGGGTTGAGTTCAACAGCCCCCGGGTAAAGCTGGGGGTGCATGACGCCGATCCTTCGAAAACGAGATCAGCAGCCGCTGGGTGCTCGCAGCGCCGATAGACGCCGTCGGACTGACACGGATTACATGTGTCCGATGGGACGATCACGACACCCAGTACGGTTTGAGGCCGGATTGACGAGACTTTGACCAGTGGACGTGACAGTTGGTGTGTGTTGTGTGTGTGTGTTTCTGGTTTTCTTTGCTCTTGGCCTTGCTGGCACGCACCACACACACACACGCACCGCACCACACACTGTTATTCTTGTTCGGGATCTCCGGTAGGATGCAGTCAGCGGTTCGCTTGGTACGTAGGCGAAACACGCCCAGGGTAGAGTAACCACACTGTCTGGAGCCAGCGCACAACACGCAGCATGCTCCTCGTATGTGGTGTGCAGATGGGAGCGCACAAGGGGTTGGGTGACAGTGGACGTTGCTTTCGTTGGGCGGATCGCATGCGTGCGGTGCAAGCGCTGGTGCTGCTGCCGCTGCAGCTTCCAGCGCCATAGCCGATGCCACCGCTGCTCTGTGCTGCCCTCTGCTTCCCCGCGCCCAGGTGGGACGACACCTGGCTCTGCGTTGACAGCAAGGATCGGCGCCGAAGACGAACTGCCCACCACTATGATCTCACCTCCGCCCTTCCCCGTCCCCTCTCTCCAGTCCCCCTTCCCATTCCCCTTCCCGCCCCCTCCCTCTTTTCATACCACCGCCTTTTTTCCATGCGTTGTAAAACGTTTTTTGTCTCAACCATCCTGTGTTGGTTTTCGTTTAGAATATAGAAGTGTGGTATCCACTCCTCCTCCTCCTCCTCCTCCTCCTCCTCCTCCTGGCTCCTGCCTCCTTCTGCCTTCTCTTGCCTCCTTGCTTCCCTTGTTCGTGGCTCACTGGGTGGCTGCGAGCTGCGCAACTACTGTCCTTTTCGTGGGCTCCTGGCTACTGCCCCCTGCTGCCTTCTCTTGCCTCCTTGCTTCCCTTGTTCGCAGCTCACTGGGTGGCTGCGAGCTGCGCAACGATTGTCATGTTCGTGGGCTCCTGGGAGGGCCAGCGGGGGAGGGTGCGCGGGAGTGGGGGGATGGGAGAGCGGTAGGGGCCCTCGCCGACGTCTCCCCCTTCCCCCCCCTCTCTCCCCCCCCCCCTCCCCGTAAATCTCACCATCTCCCTGCCCCGTGTTTTCTGCTCCCTCTGCTGCTCGTCCTCCCTCCTCCTCCCTCCCCCCCTCCTACTCTTCCTCCTCTTCCTCCTCCTTTTCGTGGGCGTTGCGAACTCTGCGCCCGTCGCCATGTTGGGGGGCTCCAGGGCGGCACGGCGGAGGCGAGGGCAGCACAGATCCACTGGAGACGTCACAGCTCCCTCGGCTGCAGCGAACTGCGCAAGCGCCGCCGGTTTCGTGGGCTCCTGGGAGGCACGGCGGAGGTGAGGGCAGCGCAGATCCATCTGAGGCTTCGCGGCTCCCTGGGGCGCTGCGAAGCGTGCAACCGTCGCCACTTTCGTGGGCTCCTGGGAGACACGGCGGAGTTGAGGGCAGCGCAGGTCGTGCGCATTTGGCGATGTGTTCTTCGCACACACGCAAAGCCGCACCTAGACGGCTCCCTTTTCCCCTCGCTACCTCGTCGTCCTCTGCGCCGCTTCGAAGCTAGAGACATATTGCCCACGATCCAGCCTACTTTTAAATCATCTGGCGATGAGTTCTTTCGTATGGAGTGTTCATGCAAATTGGGTACGTATCGGCTGATTGTACTTCCAGCTGCCCGCGACCGGCGCAGCATCGAAGTGTACTACACACGCAGTCTCGACTTCTCATTGGTGCACAAAGGTTGTGCCATTGCTCATTTTGCAGCCATGACTCCACAGGGCTTCGGGGCCTCTTCGGGATGCCTTTCCGGAGCCTGTCGGGTGGCTTCTGTAAGGTTTCCTGGAGGCCTCTTGGGAGCCCTTCCATCCTGCGGGGCTTTAGGGCCGTCTTGGGGTGCCATGGGGCCGTCTTGGGTTGGTCTTGTTTCTTTTTGTCAGGGGTCCATTGGCCGTCTTGGGGCAGTGTTGGAGCCCGCTCCGAGGCGTCCCGGGGCCGCGCGGGGCACCTTGCGGCCTCCTCGGGCGAACATCAACGACATGCAGGCACGACGGGGTGGGCTGCAGTGCGGTCTTTCCGCCCACGCGACGCCGTGTCAAGTCTCCGCGCGTGGGCTGGCTCGGGGCGATATGGCGCCGTCGCCTTAATCGATTCCGCTATCGATCTCATGATCGATCTCACAATCGATCCCAAAAGCTAGATTGCTACTTCCCGAACCATCCACGGATTGGGGTTTTTCTCTGGTGTAGTCTTGTGTTTTCTCTCCTTCTGACAGGACGGGGGCCTGCTGGGGCGCAGCCACGGGTTCCGCCGCGGCGTCGTGGGTGCCTGGGGGACCCGGCCTGGAAAGGGCCCTGGGACTGCCCGGCGCGGACGCGGGTCGGGTCGCCTTGCGTCCACAGGTTTGCGCCAAAACTTTTCCTCCTCCTCCTCCTCTTCCTCCTTCTCCTCCTCCCCCTCCTCCTCCTCCTCCTCCTCCTCCTCCTCCTCCTCTCCTCCTCCTCCTCCTCCTCCTCCCCTTCTTCCTCTTCCTCCTCCTCCTCCTCCTATTCCTCCTCCTACTCCTCCTCCTCCTTCTCCTCCGTCTCCTTCTCCTCCTCCTCCTCCGATGCCATTTTGGCTCAAGTGCTGGGGCGCTTGGGTGGGCAGCCTCTCTTGAAGGGGCCATCTTGGGGTCGTTCCCAAGCGGACACACTTTTTCTCTCTGCCATGGCGCGCGCTGCTCTCTCGCCCGAGGACCTGCAGGCCATCGGTGGAGTCATCTCCCTCCAGGTCGCTCCTCTACGTGCTGATCTACAGTCCACAGTCGATAAGATCCACGAGATGGACGAGAAGTTTGACGCCCAGATCGCCGAACTGCGCCTGGAGCAGCAGAAGATGAAGGTTACGGTGGAGGAGGCGCGCCTGTTGTGCTGGAGCTCCCTCAATGCGAGGCCGCTCGAGGAGGACAACATGTCGCAAGAGCTGCCTCCCATTCCGTCTCAGCCGGTCGCCGCCGCCCAGCTGGACGCCAAGCTGATCACCATGGAGAGCACGCTCATGAAGGCGATCGCCTCCACTGCAGGGTCTGCATCCTCCGCTGTCAGTGCAGATCGTGTTGAGGTCGTTGGACCAGATCCCTGGACCCGCTTCCTGGGCCGCAGCGGGTGCAAGAAACCCAGGCGTGCTCAGACTGGACCATCGTGTGCGGCATATCCTGTGCCACCCGCTCGTGCTTGACCCGAGCCTCGTAGTCACTCTCCTCTTCGAGACGGTGGTGAAGGTGGTGACCGCTGCAAGATTTGGATTCGGGGATTCACCAGGAAGATGCTAAACCGTGTTTTCGTGAAGCACTGCGAGCTGCTCAAGGCAGCTGCAGTGTCGTTGCTCGATGGTGCAGTCCCCCAGCGCCAGAGCTACAAGTACTGTTGCAACATCCGCTTCCAGTCCGCGGAAGCTCCCGGGGCTTTCTTCAGCTGGGGCAAGGATGCAGGATCGGCTGTCCACCTGCTCTGGAGGGATCCTAAGAATAGTCAAGACATGCCACTTCGAGTAGGGTATGACCAACCTCTGCACGTTCGGCATAAAAGTTTCGCTCTTTGCAAGTGCTAGGAGATGACGCGTGCAATCTTTGACGAGCATGGCAAGTGGAAGGAATTCTTTCGTCTTGGCTCCAACCCGCACACTGGCGCGCTCCACCTGACCTGCTCCGATGATGAGGAAAGCTTCGATTTGGTCGAGCTGTCCACTGGGGGCAGACACAGGAGGTGGTAAGGACGCCTTCGCGTTCATGGGGATGCCAGACGCCAAGATGTTCGAGTTCCCCGAGGCCGTGCTGAACGCGTTCCCTGAGCTTGCCCTGAGCAACCTCGACAAGAAACCCGCCTGACGGTCCCGTTCAGCGGAGCTCAGTATTCCTAAAGAGCAGGGGCACATCCTGCATGATGGTCCTCCACCTGTCCTGGGCTGCGTCGCCGCCGTCAAAAGGAATAGGGGGCACTCATCATCTACCCGTGGGTCGTTCCTCCTCGACCAGTTCATGCTCTACTTCTGGGTCGTCTGGGAATATTGGGGCTGTTGGGTCTGCGCCTCGCATTCCATATGACGTGAGGAAGTGCAGTTCCTCTGCGTCTCAGTTCCCTGCTGCCCTTCCCCCCGCCGCGTCTTGCATCCGCATTGGCTCGTCTCGGGTAGCTTTTCTGTTGCATGTCTGAATTATGCTGCTCTCTTTGGAAGCCTGTGGGGTAGATCTACCTGTCAGTGTGAGAAACATTCGTGGCTTGCTCGTCTCTGTGCACAGTATAAGCTAATCATACCACAGGAAACTCGCGGGTACATAGCCGACCTCGCAGCTTTAGGTGGAGAGTGCTCTAGTTTTGCAGCACCTATCTCCGTGCCGTTTGCAATGTTTGGCCAGCGTCCCGCCAGTTCCGTCCGGGTTCCGTAAAAATGTAAATTTGGGTGCTGTGCTTTCGGCGGAGGTTACTCATGGTTTAATCTACGACCTTGAACACTCTGCGCGCTGGAGAGCGGTTTGGGCCCAAGGGGGTTCAGAGTCTCCTGATTGCCCGTGCTCGTGTTCTCGCGAGGCGCAGCCGCAAAGTGCGCGTGCTGCCCACGAGATGCCTGACGGGAGCCTGATCAAATACAGTTTCTGACGGATGGACTCTTGCCCTCGTCTCGCCCCTTTTTTGTCCGCCTGCCCTCTTCTCGTCCTTTTCATCGGAGGGTCGTTCTCCTCCTCCTCCTCCTCCTCTAGGCGTAGTTGGGTCCTCGGGAGAGAACGCCCGCGGCGAGCTCTTGTTATGAAGTGGAGACGCTTTGACGAGCAAAGGGGCTCCTGATGCCTTCCCGCGTCTGCTCGGGCGATGGGGACGTGGATGTGTGTTTGTGTTGTCTCTCAGCGTATCAAGGGGGCCTGAGGACTTCTTCGAGTCCTCATGGAGCATCTTTGGCCTTGGGCCTTGTCGTGGGGATTCCCCTAGGCACTCTGAGGGCGTCCTGGGGTGGAATTGGGGCCGTCTTGAAGACGCATCGTGGCTATCTCGGCCGTCCTGCGGAGTCTTGCAACTCTTGGGGGCGAGACTACGCAGCTCCCTGGGGGCCTAATCCTTTTCGCTTGTTCGAGCCGGTCTCGGCCACACGCAGCGACGGTGTCCAAACGTAAGGCATTCCGGCCCTAACGTTTTAGGGGCACACATGTAGTCTCATTTGGCCAGCACGGTGCTCGTAGGTCTTGGAGGGGCAGAAGAGGGATAGTGGGAGGAGAAGGGAGAGGAGCCCGGCGAAACAACAGTATGCTTTTACATTTTGTGGAAGACATTGCCCCAAACAGTGTTGGCCGGAGTGCTGGTGGGCGTTTGCCAGAAGGGTGGCGGTGGTAGTTAATAGATGGGTGGTCTTCACAAAATAGCGTGACCCTTCAATTTGTTTGTTTCAGCGTGACCAGCAAGACATGCTCCGCACATTATCATGCGCTCTGGCGTGCGGGGGAACATGCTGGCAGAAAGCTGGGATCACATCGAGGCGTATAGGTGTTCTTTTTGCTGCGCCAGAGGGAATGCGATCCCGCAAACGTGTCTTCGTTTCTTGTCGGGGACACGTGTTGGCGCTTTAGTGCGTTGTTGGGCATGCGTGCCGTCTCGCTCAGATGTGTCATCCTCGTTTCCTCTTGCCATTGCTCGTGCCGCCTGGGAAGGGGGGTGCTGGTGGGGATTGGCTTAAGGAGGGGGAGCAGCGGTGGGGGGAGGGTGCTGAGCTTCAGATACCTGGGATCCCCGCGGCTCTCGGGGTGGCCTGGGTCAGGACGGAATGATGAAATTTCTGGTAAACTAAAGTCTTTCCGGGTAGACTGGGTGCTTGCCCGGTTCTAGACGTCTTGAAACTTGTGTGGGGCTAGGCTTCCGAGGCTTTTTGAAAGCTCCAGGGAGCGTAAAAGAGCTTCAGAGAGCTCCGGAGAGCTTCAGAGAGCTTCATATAGCTTCCGAGTGCTTCAGAGCGCTTCAGAAAGCTTCAGAGAATTTCAGAGAGCTTCAGAGAGCCTCAGAGAGCTTCAGGGAGCTTCAGAGAGCTTCAGAGAGCCTCAGAGAGCTTCAGGGGGCTAGCGAGAGCTTCAGAGCGCTTCCGAAAACTTCTGAGAGTTTCAGAGAGCTTCCGAGAGCTTCAGATATTTTCAGAGAGTTTCCGATAATTTCGAAGCTTCTGAAAGCTTCAGAGAGCTTCGGAGAGCTTCTGATACTTTCAGAGAGCTTCATTTAGCTTCAGAGAGCTTCAGAGTTTCAGAGAGCTTCAGGGGGCTTCCGAGAGCTTGCGAGAGCTTCAGAGAGTTTCTGGGAGTTTCTGAGAGCTTCCGAGAGCTGCAGAAATCTTCAGAGAGCTTCAGCGAGCTTCAGAGAGCTTCGGGGAGCTTCAGAGAGCCTCAGAGAGCTTCAGAGAGCCTTAGAGGTAGTATTATCATTACTACTACCACCACTACTACTACTACTGATTCTACTAATACGTCTACTAGCTGTACGACTGCGACTACTACTATTACAACTAGTACTACCACTCCTGCGACGGCAACCGCGACGATGATGATGATGATGACCGTTATTGTTGCAACTACGATGACTGATTCCACGATTATATATAAGTTCATACAAATAACACATTTTCGTATTGTCAAGGCTACCATTCGCATGAGCACGACTACGACTGGTACAATTGCGAACAATGCCAGTGACGCTGTTCGTGGTAGTGCGAAAACCAACACCACCCATCACCACCACCACCACCCTGCTTGCTTTCAGGGTGCCCTGGGCTTCTTGGGGTTCGATGGTTTTGCCAGGGAAAACGTGTCGTTCCCACACCAACGATCAGTGGACGTCCTGGGGTCTCAGGGTTGGGTTTCTTGTGGAAGGTCTCTTGTGGTCGAGCTCCTACTGAGTTCTTTGAGCGACTAGGCGATATCCCAGTAAACACGGCAATGTTGATGTCGAGAGGTGGGGGGCCTGGCCAGCGGGGGATAAATTCTTTGGTCGCGTAACAAGAATGCCGCGTGACAGGACATGTTGGGGCGCGTCGTGACGGAGCAGGGCCGAGTTCTGTGGCGACGTTGGGATCAAGACAGGACGGCTTGTTTGTTGAATTGATGGAGGTAGGTAGCAAATCATGGGAGCTTACTGTACCCTCGTAGCTTCGATTAGCGTCTGGGAGTTGACAAGGTAGCGCCGATTTAGCGTCGACCAGCTTCGATTAGCTTCGATTTAGCGTCGATTAGCGTCGAATTAGCGTCGATTAGCTTGGATTCGCAAGAGCCGACAAGACGGCATGGGAGGCTCCCATGGGAGGTGTCGCTGCTGACAGTTGCTTGTCCAGTGACACCGCGTCGCTCACCCTCCACTTTCAGCCGATGTTGTGTTGGATCAGCTTCGGCTTCACTCCATCCGACAGGCTCCGCTCAAGCGTTCTCATTGCTACCGGAATTCGGCATGCTCGACTGGGATGCCAGCATTGGGAGTCGGAGGAATTCTGGTCTCTGGCTGCGGGCGAAGCTTTGTGCCAGGTTGTGCCAGCGCAATCAGGAAACGCTCTTGTCGAGCTTCTGATGCGCTCCAGGAAAATCATCACATGACGGTCGGTTCGCGTCGTGTCGACCAGCGGCGACCCCGCCGCTAGCGTTCAACGTTTGACGCCACCGGTGACCCAGAATCGGTCGATGCTGAAAGATTTGACGTTTGGGAGACGGCCAATCGTTCAAGTTCAAGGCTGAACGATCCCCGCTGCCTCAGATGCCAACGCCAGGGTCGGCACGACACGCGTCTGCAGCGGGTCCGTATTCGGTAATGAGTGCGGCTCCAAGGTGGGTCGGCCCGGGCAGCCCCGCAGAGGCGTGCCCTGCCGCGAGGGAGCCCCGGAAGCAGAGGCCAGAAGTGAGGGATGCTGCGAAGCCCTCGCTGCACGGCAGGATGCCAGTCGTGCTCGTCGGAGGCCTCGTGGTCGCGCTGACAATGAGAAGCCTGCTGCCAGAGCAGGCTTTTGCCGGCGGCCCCTGATTTGGTGTCAGCTCGTTCTTCCTAGGCCGACGGGCATCACGCCGCCTTTCTGCACTGAGCACGCCGGCGGGCCTTGATCACAGCGCGCAGTGAAGTTTGTTGATTTGTGTCAGGGATGACTACCAGATCGCTTGGCGATCGATGACATTCAATTACACGCGCTTGTCCAGTTGACCCTCATTGCGATTTCTTTCGCTACAGCCCTGCGAAGGCGCCACGGCAGCGGCCGGCTGACAGCGAACAGCATCACAATACATTGTTGATCCAGAGCGTGCGAAGCCACGCGCCGTTGAACATTTGTGAAGATGTAGCTCCTCATGAGCTGTGAGTTCAGACGCTTGCGTATGTTGCACACTGCTACGCGTACGCGCCGATTATACGGTCAAGTCGCTAATTTGCTAACTCGCGATGAGCTGTCTCACAAAGTTGCGGGTGCAACCCTGGCCGCGCACCTAGGTTGTTCGCGAGAGGGGCACATAAGTTTTTTTTTTTGACTTGACTTGCATGTACAGCCTCTCTCTGCTTCACCACCCACCAAACCATCCCAACCCAGCCCGAAGACCCAAATATTCCCTGCATTCCAAGTGGGGGGGGGGCGTCGGGGAACATTGCCAGAAGTACATGTGGAGCCCGTACCCCCCCCCAACCCGAAATTTGGGTCTTCGGGTTGGGTGGGGGTGGTCTGGTAGGTAGTCCCTGCTACAAACAACGAGCCCCGAAGAGCGGTACGGCTGTGCCGTGCCGCTTTGGTGCGACTGTTTCGGCAGGGATATTTTCCTTTACTGCATTCCTGCGGGGGCCTCCGGCGTCTCCCGCCGTGCCCCTGCCCCGGGCGCACCTGAAGAGAAGCCAGCTGGGCTAGCAGCCCAGGGAAGCTCAAAACAGTAGTCGGCCAAAGTTTCCCCGTGGTGCTCCTGCGGCCCATTGCCCACTCTCGTGCCCAGCCAGCTTGGATATCGTTGAATAGCTCACCAACCCGACATCGGGTACCCTCACCCCCGCCTGTGTGTTAGTTCCCCTCGCGGGCGCGAGCCATATCCGTATCTGCGGGCGGTGCGGAGTCCTCCGCCGCTGCCCCATGGGCCATTGGTGGCGGCTGTGCGGGGAGCCCCTGCGCGGAGCGAGCCCCGGGGGTGGCGCATCCATGGCATCGCGCCCCGGTGTCCAGGCCTTGAGGGCACGTTTAGGCATGGTTGCGCATGTCTTCGTTGGTCGTGATCCTCGTTGTCCCCTGAAGCTTGCAGCCGGGGCACGCCCGGAGGATGCCCTCGCCCAGCATCGACTACCCCGCCGGCGTCACCCCCTTTCGTCCTCGCCTGGCCCAGCCCGAAGGCCTCACTTTGCCCTCCATTTCCAGTGGTGGGGGGGGGTCGGGGCACATTGACAAAAATATAGATGTGGAACCCGTACCCACCCCAACCCGAAATTCGAATCTTCGGGTTGGGTTGGGGTGGTCGGCTAGGTGGTCACTTTCGCCGTCGCCCGGCAGCTGCGGTGCGGCCTCCGTGCCTGCCCGAGGGGCCCCGCCAGCAGGGCCAGCGATGCGTGGTTCTTGGCAGGGGAGGAGCTGCACTCGCTTGGCCAGCCCCCCCCCCCGCCCTTGCAGAGGAGGAGGAGGGAGGAGAAGTGGGAGGAGGAGGAGGAGGAGGAGGAGGAGGAGAGGAGGGAGGAGGAGGAGGAGGAGGAGGAGAGGAGGAGAGGAGGAGGAGGAGGAGGAGGAGGAGGAGCTGCAGGGGCGCAAGAGCCCCAGTACTTACTGCAGCGCAGGCGCTATGAGCAAGCCACGACGTCGCCTCACTGGCCAGTTTCAGTGGTGCCGAGAGGAGACCCGCTGGGGGCTACGCGTTGGGTACCGCCTAAGACGTCGGCCTTCCTCAAAAATCTCCCCATCGATTCCCGTCCAGCTCCACCAGATTGCCGCAGGCTCCGGGAGAGCGCGGTGGCTCGGAGGAGCTCCTGAAGATGGCTGAAGGGGAGGGGCATACAGTCGGGGCGCTGAAGAAGGAACCATTTTCGTTGGGGAGGGGCTCGGTGTTCCTTGATTGTTCCACGCCTTGCCCAAGGTTTTCCTCAAGTGTTCGATGGGAAGTCGAAGGTGAACTTATGAAAAAAAGGGGGCCTCGTTCGTTATTTACTCCAGATTTCGTAATAAAGGGAGGGGGGTCTCATTTCGGGGGGGGGGTCTCTTCCAGGCTATCTTGGAGGGCCTGGGGGGGTCTGGGGACGATGTTTTGGAGGGTTCTCCCACGGGGGGGGGGTCTGAAATGGCTTGTCTTGGAGGGTCCAGACCCCCCCCCCCCTTTTATTACGAAATCTGGAGTAGGGTTCCTTGGGTCAACGCCCCGACTGCACGGGGGGAAGGGGCGCAACAGGGACGAGGCGGAGGCGGAGGCGGAGGGTGCAGGCGGGGCGGGAGGGAGCGGGGCGCGGAGCAGCGGAGGGACGGTCGGGCCAGCGAGCTCCCACGAGTCGGCGGGCCCCGCCCGCCTTACACCCCTCGGGAGGGAGGCCCGGCAGCAAGGGCACGCCGCCGTCGTGGTCACGCACGTCGGCGTGCGACTCCTTCATTCCCAGACCCCCCCGAGTCATGAAAAAATCACGACGGGAGGTTTTTCATGATTTTTGGCCTCTGGGGGCCCTTACCGGCCCTCGGGACCGTCAAAAAACGACTCAGGACGAAAAACCGGTCCTGGGGAATGGGTCGAGACCTCGGGGGGTCGACGTCATGAAAAAATCATGACGTCGGGGGTCTGGGTTTAAGTCCGAAGACCAGGTGCTTCCTCAACCTTCAAGAGTGACACGCTGATGCGTCCCCCACTGCGGCGTGTCGTTGGTAAGGCTGTCGCTCCACAAAGTGCACGTTGTACCAAAACCGATGCCGGCAACAATGGAAGTTGGGATCGGCACGCGTTTCCACCTCGCGAGCGGCAAGATCCTCGCAAGCACGCGCGGTTCATGTTTCCAACGACCCTGGCAAAGGAGCAGCATGCGCCGCGCCGCGCCGAAGAGGGACTATACAGCTCGGGGGGATGTCGGGGCCCTGGCGCTAAAGTCACGTCCTGCTCGTCAGCGCGCCCCGCCCAGGGCATCCAGCAGGATTGGAGATCGAAGGACAACTGCCGCGCCCAAGCGGGAGTTTTTCAAGGGAAGAGTGCGTGGCGCTGGGGCGAAATCAACGTTTCGCCCTTCCGCGTGCGATGTGCGCCGCGCTCGACTCAAGCCGAGCAAGTCGCAGCGTCGACGCCAATACGTCCATGCTGAAATCCAACGCAACACAGGCCGTGCAACGGTTTGATCGGGAGGAGGAGTGCCCCGCTTCGGGGGGTGGTCATGCCTGAGACGAGGGAGAGGAGGGGCGGAGTAGATGGCAACAGGGATCAAGGAGTAACTTCAGCACGGTCCCAGGTCCCTGACCTGGACGTCCCAGGGGGGGTCGATGGGGCCAACGGCAGGCCAAGGAGTCTCCCTCCCTGATCCTTGAGGGTCGAGTGCAACACTTGGACCTCCCGCCTCGAGGGCTGAGGACAGCACTTGGCGGCAGGAGGAGAAAGGGTGCGTTTGGCGGGGAGGAGGGGTGGCGGGGAGAGGAAGGGGTTGTGTGGAGTGGCCCTGCCGCTGCTGGGCCTCGCTTCCCCTGCACCCACCGCCAGGCCGTTTCGACGCCCGGCGCCCTGGCGCCAGGGGGGATCTGCAACGCAGGCGTGCCTGGACTCGAGGACGCGCGCGCGCGGACACAAAGACTCGACGCCCGTGGCGCTCTCGGCTGTGGTCCGAGAGCGGGGCACGCGAGATCACCAGGGGACCTCCGAAGCGGGCCGAGGCCCCCGGCTCCCGCCCATCGAGGGGCCCCGCCCCCGAGGTGTCGGAGGCAGTTGCGCTCCCGCCTCTCGGCGGAGGGCCAGGGGACTCTCGGCTCCTCCTCCTTCTCCTCCCCCTCCTCCTCCCCCTCCTCCTCCTCCTCCTCCTCCTCCTCCTCCTCCTCCTCCTCCTCCTCCTCCTCCTCCTCCTTGGCGGGGGCGGCCCTGGCGGTGGCGGCGGATGCAAAGGTGCCCTCCAAGCTACTGCTAGATTTCTGCCAGGCGAGCTTGCCAGAGCAGGTCCTACGCACGGGTCGCATGACTGTGGTGCCTCCCTTCGTGTACCTCGTCGAGCGTTTGCCCGCGACCTGGGCGTGCTCCGCGGGTGGTCGCCCCGACAGAGGTTGGGGACTGAATAGCGACATAAACAGAACAGCTCAGAGGTCCGCGCGGATCTCTCGGATGGGCGCCGGACCCCTCGCCCTGGCGCGCGGAGCGCGCAAGGGGCGGCGCCCGAGGCGTCGCCCGGAGGTCCCAGCGCCGATCCCCTCGAGGCATTCGCGCGGACCCCGGAGCTTCTTTGCTCACGTGACTGCGTGTTCCCCTAAGGAGGGGCTGGCGAGTCTAGCTTGCCGCCGTCGTGACGACGCTTCGGCGTAGGCCTTGCCTCGCCGGGACCGCGCGAGGCGATCTGCGCTGCCGCTGGGCTTAGAGGTTTGGCCGCCCAGGCCTCCGACACGTCTTGCTTCTTTCAGTACGCGGGCCCAGGCCTCCTCCTCCTCCTCCTCCTCGCCTTCCTTCTCCTCCTCGCCCTCCTCCTCCTCGTTCTTCTCCTCGCCCTCCTCCTCCTCCTCCTCCTCGTCGTCCTCCTCCTCCTCCTCCTCTGCCATCCTCCTCCTCCTCGCCATCCTCCTCTTCCTCGCCCTCCTCCTCCCTCTCCTCCTCACCCTCGTCCGCCTTGAACTCTCGGCCACCGCCAGGGGACAGCTTTTCCGTATGTGGTGCCCCGGATCCCGGCAGCGGCCGTTGACCCTTTTGAGGCATGAAAAAGTCACGACGGAAGGTTTTGTTTACGTAATCGCTTCGCTCATTCCGCCTGCCCGTATTGTGCCATCGCAGCAGGCGTTTGCTTTCGCGTTCGTGGCCTCTTAGGGCTTCTTGGGGGGCGTTTGGAGGCCTCATGGGGCCCCTTTTGGGGCATCT